GCCGGGAAGGGCAACCCCCGGGGGGCCCCCCGCCATTTTGCGCCCTCCCCGGCTCCCTCCGGCCGGGAACGCGGGCACCGCCACACGTTCCGGGCGGCGGCGGGGCTAGGGGCAGGGCCGGCCAGTGCCTGCGGCCGTCAGCCGCCACCAGGCCGTGTGAGCGGGGGGCCCGTACTCCCGCCTCCCCTTTCACGCAGGGGCACCCGCGCCCTCCACCACTGCGAGCTCAGCTTGGGCCTTGAGACCTCCCCAGGGTCCGTGACCTGCCTGGAAGGGGAAACCCGCGGCCCTGGCCTGTGCTAGACCGCCCCGGGCGGTCACCTCCGCAGCCTGGGCTTCAAGGCCCCGTCAGCATCCAGCGAGCACATCTCCCCGCCATAAAAAGGGGGCCAGCCCTGGCCGAGGCGTCCTGGCCCGTTCCACGGGCGTCTGCCGGATCCGTGGCCTGAGATGGGGACACAGCGCGGGAGCCGCCCCGCCATGGCGCCGGAGGGAAGGACAGGCCCGCTCGCCAAACCCAGCTGCTAGCTCGGCTCGGTGGAGAGCCGGGGTGGACCCGGGGGGTCCTGGTGATGTGACTTTACCATTAAAACTGAAGAGATCACACCTTGGATTCTGCTCCTCTCTGTCACTGTTGTGACTGCGTTTGTAGACAAACCACTAACAGCCTGATTTTCAGAAATGCCACCAACCTGCAACCCCCACTGTGTGAAATGGGGACTGCGAATGTTTAGCATCCTTGAAGCTCAGGTCATTAATGGCTTTTCTCACTTGTTTACCCAATGCACAGGGATAATAGCTTTCTTTTATCGCACAGGGGTGTTATTAACGTGAATTAATAAGAATTTGTAAAGTTCATTTAGATCTTGGGATTAAAAGGCTCATTTCAAGGGGCTGTTAGGACATAAAAACAAACACATGCACACAAGCAGGAACATTAAACGCACGCAATCACTCATAATGTGCACTTACATAGCTGCTCTCTTCTAAGGTTTACTGAGAGCTACGTAAACAATTAATTTAGCCAAACAACCCCCTGTGAGGTAAGCAATAGATAACAGTTTTATTTTATTGAAGGAGAAACACACACTGTGATGAATATCAAGTTACCAAAGTCACCTATCTGTTCCTACTTTGATCACTACTGAACTCCTTTACTATTAAGCAATACATTTATAGACACATATCCTATGAAACACTCTAGCTTGCCCTTGGAGGGAAGGGAGATAGGCAATTAAAATGCAAAGGTTTGTTTTCCTCATGGATTAACTAATAGATGGAAACATAGAGAATAGGCTAAAAATAGAGTCCATGTTAATATGGGACATATTTGTGCTCCATGTCAAGTAAGAGAGCCTGGGAGAAGAAATTTTTAGCTAGTGATCCTCTACACATCTCTGCAGGGTTGATTCCGTTTTATTGATTTCTCAACAGCAACCTTGGCTACCCAGTGTCAAAGTGGCTGAAGTGCTTGGTTATCTCCCCTATATCTGAAGACATAAACATAGCTTTAACTATTGTTTTAACATAAGCCTTGAAAGCTTCTTAACTTGTACCTTACCCTTTCAATAGCAGTCGAAGAAAGGAGAATCAAATCAGATGTTTTCTCAGTTATTCTTATCCCGTATTTAATCCTTATTACTCCCTCCCTGCATAGCACAGGGCTGTCGCTTTTGCTGCCCACACCGAGTATATCAGCTGTCTTCTTGCGATTAACACGGTGATGCAATAAGAGTTACTAAACGGTAGGTAGTAAAGCAGAGCAGGCATGCTGTTCTAAACTTAGCGTAAGCTGAAGCAAGCAATGAAGTATCCTCTGGTTCCTTTGGTGAATGATCTGACCTTTCCTCTTCTTTTCTTCTGGTTTTGTTTGCCGTTTGTAACGCTGTTGATCATAATGATTATCTGGCTACAGCTTCTACTTAATGAAGGTAAGCTCTGCAGTCGATCAGATAAAATGCTCCTGCATAAAGGTTTTATCTATTAGCTTCATCTTTAAAGCACTCTGCTAGCTATTTTTAGGCTAATGCCACTTGTCACAGAAGGAAACTAAAGGGTTTTTTAGTACTGTTGGTAGCATGTGGAAAACCAAACTCAAATTATTGTGCTGTTCTGTTAAAAATGCTTATAAGACGACAAGCTGCTGGCAGCTGTTCTTCCTTACCCTCTCCCTTTTTCTCAGAGGTAATTTAATTTATGAAAGGCAAAGGACAAGTAATTTTTGTAAATGTCTATAAAAAACCCCCAGAAAGCAAATCTCACCCTCTAATTTTGTACACTTTAAAACTCAGGCATTATAGTTCTCTTACACTTTTTTTTTTGGGGTGGGGGATATTACCGGGGAGCTGTTAAGGGATTCCTTTATCAATGCTGAGACTGATAGAAAATTTTTGAAGGGAGCAGGGCATGCATTTTCATTTGTTTTTGTATTTTGCATCTCTTTTTGATCCACCAGTGATTGTTATTTCTAACATGTCAGTAACTAACAACAGGCTTTGGTTCAGACTAATAATAGGCTTGTTGATGTACTCAGGAGGATAAAGCCTTGCCTTGCTAGTTTGCTCTAATCCTGGAGCATAAGCAATCCCAGCTGAGGAATCAATCATAAGTTCAAAAGCAGCAATTCTGCCTTTGCAGAACAGCTGTAGGAAGGAAAATAAGAACAAAATTTCACTTCAGCAAGCTTTTACTTCTGTTTGGTGCCCTCTGTTCTTACTTAATAATGTGGTATCCAGTCCTATAGTAGATCCCATAGGAATAGCAGCAATGAGACAATACCCACAGACAGCAGAGGAACAGGAGGTGCTCACCACAGCAGAGGCTTGTACTCCTCCCTCCTTTCCTGTCCCACATGTGTGTGCATGCTGAATTTTTGACTTTCAGCTCCCTTTTTGCAGGCTTAGCACACAGCTGATGCTCATAACAGCCTCTGCTTGCTGCAGCAGTAAAGTATGTTCCCTCCACACACTCAAGTGCACTCTTGCAGGTAAGCAAGCATAGCAATTAAAAACCACAGGTTATAAGAGGTTGTGACATTTGTACAACTACCCTGAGCAGCATAGGCATGGCTTACTGCTGATACCTGAAGAGCAGAATAAAATATCTATTTTGCATAGGTGAAGGGTAGCTGTGCCACATGCTTACACTTGAGTATCAGTTTTTTGCCTGCACAGAGTAACTCTAGAATATCTTGGTGCCTTAAGTAAGATTTTCAGGTTATATCTACTGCATTTACCTTCACAATTTCTGGCCCTATAGCCATTGCTATTAGCACCAAGCCTCTAAAGATTTCCACAAATGGTCTAAATTCCATTTTAATCAGTAAGACTAGACATATTACTAAATTTTTTACATACTAATATGTTTATAGGATTAGAATGTTAAAGTATTTCTCAATCACTCTTAAAAGAGAAACATGAAACACTGCTCTTTTTAATAACTTCCTAATTCAGTCATATCTACTTACTTTACACTAGTTCACTACAGCCATAAGTAAAAAGTAGGGTGTGTTTCAGCTCCTCCTTTAATATAGTTCCTGATTAAGAGCTAATTGGTTAAAATCAAACACTTGTACAGGCTTCTTATTGCCTAGTTGGGTTTAGAAATCCCTTATTTCAGCTGAAAAAGATTCAGAAGAAACTTGCCTGGTTTCTGGATGGATCGTGTAAGGCTTACAGCTAAGGAGAAAAAGTCATGTACAGGTATTTTACATGTTCTTTTCAAACCTCTTTCTAGTACAGATGCCAAGCACAGAAGAGATAAAGCAACAGTCTTCTGATGAGCCTGATTCTGACTCTAAATTTAAGGATGAACTAACAGAGGAAGAAAACCAGAATGATACATCCAGTATAGAAACGCAAGAGGAGACACAATCCAGTGGATCTTTGGGAAAACTGAGGCCCAAGCCTGCTTACCTGAGTTCAAAACCAAAAAGCCAAAAGCAAAGTCTTTTTGCTGCAATCTCAGACAGCTGGTCTCAGAGCCAGAAGATAAGACCCTCCCATGCTGAGAAGAGCAATCTCCACAACACTGTGATGGTGAGTAGTGTGACCAGGCTACCTCTTTGCATATCTGCTGCTTTTGTGCCTCAGCTCTGATTTTTTTTCACCTTTGCCTCGCTCCTCAGCCTCTTGGGTAAGAGAAAGCTGCAAGATTGGTTTCTGCTTGGTTAATAACTAAGAAGATTTTTTTTTTTTTCTGTCTTCCCTATTTGGAATGACTCCTGTTGTTGCCAAGGTAAAGGTAATACAAAATTGTACAGAATAACTATTATATATGCATATTGTATAAGTATGTGTGTGTGTGTATATATATTTAAAGATATGTATACATATTTAAAAAGTCCTTGAGAATTGAATTTGAAACAGTGAAAATTGCTGCCTATTCCTCCAAGATAAGAGGTTTAGCTCAACTTTATATAGAAACTCTCCTGGTATGTATGGCTGATATTATGTATTTTTAAAAGCTGCTTCAGATTTCTTACAGTGGAGTATGTGACTAAAAATTAGATGTATTTCACTTGCTCAGTAAGCGCTGAAGCCAGAAGTCTCTTTGCAAACATGACAGTCCCAATCCTCTTAGGCTTTATACAAATCCCAAAAGATATATTTGAAGCAGTGGAAGAGCTTAGTGTCTTGTGTGTCTCCGCTTTCCCTGTGCCTTGACTGTATGTTCCTTTGCAGAAGGGGCTGAGAAGGGAAAACTGGTCTGTGCCTCCACTGTCACTATTCACTGTCCTGTCTACTCATTTACATTGCTTGGATTTTTGAATTGCAGCAACTGAGGTACTCACACACACTTACTTCCACCAGCTTTGCTGGAGCAGTAACCTTTATTAGGCTGGAATAGCTAAGGACTGGTATCATCTTAAATTGCTGCAGTTGTTTGACTAGCACACCTTGAAGCTGAGCTTTAGCATGGAACCAGTAATATCTCAAGTCAAAGTATTTTTGACCTCATTAACACCACCAAAGCAGTACCAAGTCAGTGTAGTCAGATTTTTTTCATTGTTGTTGTTCAGGTGAACATATGTTCACATATACAAGTGGATAGAGCAGTTTGAAGAACTGGGGTTTAAACTTGTCCCTTGTAGGACGTAATACTCATGCTGAAAGGTGTGTTAGTTGTGTTGGGTGCATAAGGGAAGGCAACAAGCACTCATGGTCTCGCATCATTTATATTCTACTGAAAACTGAACCTCTTCTGAAAACATCATTGCCATGACAATTTTCTTCCTCCTTTTCTTCCCCAGCTGTTGTGCACCATGCTTTCTTCTGTCACTTGGAACTTTGTCTGCCACTTGCTCGAGATCTCTAACGTCCTGAGGATTCAACTGCTGCCCTCCTCTCTGATTATCTATATGGCTCAGCTCTTTGTTTTGCTGGGTGAAAAAGTTGTGAAAATCCTGGGCTCCCTGAGGCTGGAGAGCAGAGCGTTGTTAGCTTCAGTCTTGGGGGGGAGATATAAATAAACTGGAACAGAGCAATGGAGCTCGGAGAACCACCTCGGGGTGGAAATAAAGCAGGTAGTCCCATGACCATTAGCAGCAGACCCATTCACCATCAGTGAGAGCTACTACAGTGTGGCAGAGGGAGGTTAACTCTCTGAAAAGGAAACTCTGCTTTAGGAAAGGAAATACTCAGTGAGCAGTATTGACTGGCTAAGTATTAAATGGGTGACAGCAGCCAGCCTCTTGTCCAGCACTTGGGCGCGTACTCTGCTCCCCTCCCACTTTAGAGAGGCATGGCTTGCCTTTTTTTATAAGGCCCAAATGCTACGCTGGCACCAGTGATGCTCTCTGTTCACCGCTACTAATCTGTGATTTCAGACAAATAAGACCAAGGCAACAGCTCTTGTGGTTCTTCATGGAGCTTAAGTGCAGTACAGCCCAGTGATTATTTTACTCATACTGCAATTAGCACTTTTCTGATCTCCAACTTGTGAGTTCTCAAAGTAGGAAACAATTGTTCAGTGCTCAGATCTAATGAAACAAGCCTGCCTCCAATTAGCAAGAAATAATTAAGCCCTCAGCAGATACTGAGCATGTGTTTCCTTTGTTTCTGTCCAGGATAGGCCTTCTCAGCATAGCTGACAGGCTGATAAAGGTTAGATTACAGCCCAAAGAGGCACTCATCGACAGATTGGTTTATGCAGTTGGTGAGACCACAAGGAGGTCGGTGGGGCTGGGACGAGCCATAATTTTGTGGCCTGGGGGGTTATCTGGTTGTCAGGCTACGAACAGAAGAGCTCTTTGCCCCTGGTGTTGATGCACACGTTCAACAAACTTTTTTTAAAGAGGACCTGAAGTCCCATCCCAAAAAGTACATTGCTGCTTGCGAAAACGTGTGTTCCTCGTGCGAAGTAACTGTGTCCCTCCAGAGCCTTGCAGGGGCAGACTGCGTAACGGTCACGCTACCCCGCGCTAATGACTGAGCACGCCTTGTTTATGTTTACTTGTCTTTCCCTCCCTATCCCCTGAAGTCCGCATGTCCAAATATTTGTCCAGAACAGTATGCTCTTAAATAAAACTTGTTTGTCCACATCTGTATTTTTGTAGGTCCTTTATTTAGGGAAAAAAAAAAAAATATTTGTCGTTCCTCAGCTGTTTGCCGAGGGAATCTCCGTCTGTCCCTCTGCCCTGGTTAGGATGCTCCTCCTTCGGGGACGCCCCGTTTCTTCCCCGTTTGCTAGCGGGGAGCGGGCCGGGCTGGGTGTTTAAGGTAGATGCCGAGGGACCGGTTACGGCCGCGGTTGGCAGCTGGGGCAGCGGCCCCGCCTCCC